TGACATTTAGATAATAATGAACGGCGGTGCTACATGCACCAATTGATATACTAATTAATATATCACTATATGCTATGGCATTACTATTTCAAAACTATGACCCCACCTATTATACAAATTATAAAGATCTAAAACCTCTAAAATTATGTCACATCATCCGTTAGTACATTAACTAGTATATCAATTAGTACATGCAACATTATTCTTCTTTAAAACGTAGGCAAACTGTTTTTCAATTTCCAAATTGTTTCCAAAAAAAATAGTATTCCAAACTTTTCAAAGAAATTTTGCATACTCAAAAAATAAATGAGGATGTTCTTAAATATTTTGAAACACAAAAAATAAAATAATAGTTATAATAATATTAAAAAACTAAAAAAATTCCTTAATTCTTAGATGGCTGAGATTAGTAAGTTCAAAATATATTATGCAAGTTTGCTTATTTTAGAAAAAAGAATGAGAAAGAAATAGATATTCGGAATTTTTTTTGAATTTCAATGTTTGATAAGATATATATACACACTCATATATATTTTGAAAGTTACTTATTTTAGAAATAACAACAACAACAAAAGAAGAAGAAGAAGAAGAAGAAGAAGAAGAAGAAATAGATATTTACAAGAAAAAAAAATGCAATTGATATATATATATATATATACACATACTCTCATATACTTTTACATTATTTTTGAGTTTTTGAGTTTTTAAATTTTATTTATTTTTTTCATGTTTTTCAAATCTTTGATTGCAAAATGTTTTAGTCTTTGAATTTGTATTTAATTATTTTTATATTCAATTTTTTTTAAAAAAAAATTTGTATTCAGTTAAGAATATTGAATTTGGCCAAAATTATTTTTATATTCAAATTGTTTTTTTAATTTATATATTAATTTTATCTTGCAACTGTTATATGTCTACTTTTTTATATGCATATGTACATATAAAATGGTAAATTTGATTTTTTTTTTTCTTAATTCCAAGAGAAAAGAGTGTAATTTAATCTAAATAAAAACAATATATAATTGGGAAAGTTGAGAGGATGTTGGAAATATAAAAGAGTTATATGACATTGTCTCGATTAGTAGATAATACGGGTTTGTGCATAACATGAATTTAGGAAAAAATATTTAGATTTTGATGTGGGTCAAGAGCAATGACGGATTTAGAATTTGAATTGTGGAGGCAAATACACACGTCACTTCTCATTTTTTAAAAATTATCTTACAATTACAAATATAATATATATAATTTTTATAAATTTTGTGAGCTGCGACCACCAGTCCCCTAGATCCATCCATGATCAAGAGAGACTAATTAAATTAACCTTCATCAACTTAGGTAACATCGGCAATAATTCATTGTCTAGAACATCCTTGGAATACGAAATAGAATTCTTTGGCCAATTTATTTTTGAGTTTGAATCCTTAAAATAATTTATTTTGATCTTTTTTCCATTTTCTCCTTTGGTAATGTTTTATTGTTAATAAAAAGTAAATAAATAAATAAATATTTTTTTTTGTTAAATAAAAAATTTAATCAACATAACAATTCATAACAATAATATAAATTGTAGTTGGGTCCATATTTGTACACACAAAAAAAACAAATAAATAAATAAATAAATAAATAAAAAAAAAAACAGAATTGTCAAGCGTACATTACTAAAACGAGAATAGGACTAACCCATGTATTTATAACCTCTTTATATATGTTTATTTTATAAATAAAATAAAATAAAAATAGAGATTGTTAGTGAAGAATTTACAAGTAGTTCAAATCAAACAGTGAAATAAAATTAAATGAAAAGTGAAAGAAAAGAAAACTCGTATATTTGTATATAATTTTATCTACTTCTTTCTCTTTTTTAATAGTCTTTGGAAGTAACATCTTTCCAATAACTAATTTTTTCTTACGCTGTATTTGGTTCATGAATTTGGAACGAAAAAGAAAAAAAATAAGTAAAATTTGTATAAAATATGACTACATTTCACACATTTTTCCCTTTAAAAAACTACCAATGACTCCTCTCTCTTCAAAATTCGCCACATTAACTAAAATTGTTAAAAGAAGAAAAAAAAAAGAGTTCCACAAATCATAAGAGTCTTCAATGACCTCAAATGAGGGATAGCGAGCAAAACCAAGGTAACAACTTCTTGTTAAATAATTATATGGCACTACAATATCTAAAAATTTTAGGAATTAAATTTTTATTTTTAAAAGTGAAAATTTTGTTGAAGAAAAATATTAAGAAATCAATTTCAGTCGTCATGTGAGTTATCATGAAAAAGTCATTTTGAAAATACATTGTTAGAGACAATAATTTCATGCCAAAAGATTTACTTTTGAAACAAACAAAATTTGATTCCAAAAAGAGAATAATTCAGTATTATATATCTATTTTTATAACTAAAAATATAATATTATAATAATACATTTAACAATTGAGATTTTTTATATGTAAAAAATAATTTTATTTTTAAAATCCTAATATGTTATAATGAGATGAATACTATCGAATAAGGTGCAAGTGATGTCCATAGCTATTGTGGGAGCTAAAAAGAGGATATACTTGAAAACGGTCAACAAAGCGGCCAAACCCATTTAAAATGGGCCAAATAAGGCCAAAGCCCACTCAACTACATCGTTGCCGAATAGATATCTAAATAAGCATGAAAATATCAGGGGGCGCCAAATTTACGAGTACTTGTGCCGAATAGCAAAGTTGAATGTGTCAGGCGATTTGGCATGAGCCCGTTAGGTGGGACCAGACTACCCCTTTCAAGGAAATATAGTAGGGGAATGGACCCTGACAAGATGATGATGAAGCTAGACTGCACAGAGTAAAGATCGAGGAGAGGGACCTTATAAAAGGAGAAGAAAGGTTGCAGAAAGAGGTATATGCTAAGAACCTTAAATCTCAAGAAATCATAAAACACCAACCTTTTCTACAAAGATTAATTTGTCCGTCAGAGTGCTAATTCCGACATTCCCATCCAAAATTTTATTTTTATTTCAAGCAACAACTGAGAAAATCTTGCAAAAACTTATTTAAATTGAAGAAGTATTCCATATCAACTTGCTCATAACATCATAACCATTATGTTGTGATCAATACAACACATCTCAAAGAGCAAGTGTTTTGATTACGTGCACTAAAGTGGGTGCAGCTTAGGGTGTTGTTTGGAAACTAATAAAAAAAAAAAAAATTTAGAAGTCATTATATAATTTCAATTTTTTTTTCATGTCTTTTTATAAAAAAAAAAATATTAAAAAAATTAATTCTCAACGTTCCTAATTCAAAACTCCATTTATAATTGTATTTATTGAAGATAAATTAGACTGTGTTGTTGGGGTTCAATGGGCCACCCACGGAATCCACCTTAATAATTTAGGCAGCGTTTGATTTAATTTTAAAATCATGATTTGAGAATAGAATTGTATTTTAAATTTGTGAGTTGTTGAATCATGATTTAAAAAGAAAAAAATTATTTAATTATGAATTTTGAAAAGAGTTTTGAATTGAGTTTTAATTTTTGAAAAGAGTTTTGAAAAGAATTTTCAAAACTTAATTAAAAAACTTTCAAAACTTAATTCAAAAACCTATTACTCATAACCAAACACACAAGTCAAAACTCTATTGAAATTCTATTCAAAGCTCAAAACTAAACTCTTTTTAAAATTTAATTCAAAAGAATAATTATTGAAAAAAATAATTTTTTTATTTAATAAATTAAAAAAATTTCGAAAATATTTTTTATTTAAATAAAAATATGTATTATTTTTTGTTAAAAAAAATATTCAGTTAGTGTTTTAAAATTTGATTGTATATTTTTTTGTCTTCAAATAACAAGTTACAATTACACACACAAAAAAAAAAAAAAAAAAAAAAAAAACAAAAAGTCAAAAAGTTACCATTTTAGCCAAAAAGCCAACAACTCATACCAAAAAGTCAAAGATTCTCTTTTCTCTCTACTTTTTGCACATCTTTTCGTAATTAGCCAAAAAGTCATCCCAAACATATAAGTTTTTTTTACCTACCCTTTTAGCCAAATAGCCAAAAAGTTACTAAATTAGCATGTTCCCAAACGAGGCCTTTGTCAAATATATATTGGAATGTGTATTCAAATGTGGTATTGAAATCAATTTTTGAAAACTTAAATCAAACTTAACATTCAAGGGTAAAAATTATGATTTAAAATTTAAACCAAACAAAGCCTTAAGTTTTTATGTTATTTTTATTTAGTAAGACTCTCTGAGCAAAATATTCATACAAAAAAATTAAATTAAATTAATTAAATTACATTAATCACATTTGCGTTCAATCACGTTAGGTATGCGGGTATGTATCTATTGATTAGTTTATTTTTTGTTTTTTTTAATTTTTTTTTAATTAACATGTGACCTTGCTTGGGTATGGGTTTCAATTGGAATCCAACAACTTTGGAATTAATACATCAAGGGCTTGTTTGATTGAATATGTTATAGCATAGAATTAAGATTGTAATTAATGAAACTCACATCCTAGTATTAAGGGGTGGTTTGGGATGATTTAAATAAGTGTACTTTTTGACTTTTTATGAAATATGAGTTGGGTTTGAAGTAATGTGGTAGAGAGATGACAAACAAGGTCTTAGTTATAATTTTTGTTATGAGGGTCATATTTAGATGGACATTTGATCTAACAAAATTAGCAAAATTTTTAATCCTACAATTAATAATGTAAAACAAAAATATAATTTGAATTATATATTTTGATATCCATTACAAAACAAATGTGTAAAACATGGTTTATTTATTCCACTAATCTAGGTGAACCACTAATCATACACTAATTCCATGAATTATTAATCCTTTCACTATTAATTTTATTAATAAAACAGAATCTATTAATTTTGTTAATCAAGAACCTTGGAGCACTAAATCACTTGGATTAAGACTGGCATAACTAAAAATAATAATGATCCCAATACAAGATTCATCAATTCACGAACATGCAGGCTTATTCTTATTCTTCACCCAGACGTGGAGAGAGACAATATTTTATTACAGAAAATCCTATAACAAAACTTAAAATTTTATTTATTCTTATTGCTAGACATAGGACTTGCATTAATAAAAACACATAAACTTATTATTTTCATAACATTTTAAAATTAAAAATGCCATACATAATTTCTTATCTTATTTTCTTACTACTAAACAAAACAAAATTATGAATCCCACATATAGTTATTAACGTGGAATTCACTAATTTTGTGTTTAATAGTAAAAAAACTTGATGAGAAATCTATTATGTATAGCATAATAGCATTACAATTATGATACTTAAAACCCTAAAATGTAGAAACACTAGTCCTTGGAACAGCCACAACTGAGAGAGGGTTCTTCATCTCACAAGACAGCTTCAACACTTCACTTAGGTCAATAGGGTGAGCTGATATGTCCTCAACCCACTTGAAATGGTGCACCAACTTAGCCACCCAAAGGCTCACAGTGACTAACCCTAGGTTCTTCCCCGGACAAACCCTACGCCCGGCTCCAAACGGTGCAAGCCTAAGGTCATTGCCCCTCACGTCAAAGCCGGAGGTCACATCAACACCGCCGACTTCAGAGGGTAAGAACCTCTCAGGCTTGAACACCGTAGGGTCGTCCCACACATTGGGGTCATGTGTGATGGCCCACATGTTGACCATGGCTGTTGTGTCGGCAGGTATGACCATGCCGTTGCTGAGGTGGACATCTGATGTGGACAGGCGGGCCCATGAGAGGAGGGGTCCAGGTGGATGGACACGTAGGGTCTCTTTTACCACTGCCTGAAGATAGGGTAGTTTGGAGATGTCATTGTCTGTCACAGTTTTGGTTCCTATGAGGGTTTCGAGCTCGTGTTGAAGCTTGGCTTGGATTACTGGATTCAGAACTAGCTGGGCCATGACCCATTCGGTTAGAAGAGCAGTTGTGTCGGTACCGCGAAAGATCATTTCCTAGGAAATATTGTTTAGGAAACTTGTTAACAACTCATTTAGAGGACAAAATGAAATCTTAAATAAAAGAGAAGAAAAAAATTATTATTCTGTACACATAAAATTTATAAAGAATGATTTGACTGCAATTTATAATTTTGTATGAATTTTTTATATAGCATTATCTTATTATTATTCATATAGTGGGAAAACCCTAAACAAAACTCCCTTGAAATGAATTTTTAATGTCATAACATTTTCTATGCTACAAAAAAAAAAAAAAAAAAAAACTTTTTAAAGAAACGTTAGGACCGTGTACTGTCCTAATGTTTAAAAAAGTAAAATTAAGCAAAACATGCTCTTGTTATTATATTACCATCCTTTTTGATCATGTAATAAGTGTTTCTTCTTAAAAGTTGCATTTTGTTACCGATTGGCTTTGTGCTGTCCACTTGTCAAAATTAATTTTGAAAACTGATTTGCAAACAAAACAAAATAAATAAATAAATAATTTTAAAAACATGTAGGGTGTGTTTGGTAACGTACGTTTTCAGTTTATATTTACAAAAATTTTATAAACTGGTTTTTGTTTATTTTTAGAAAAACATAAACTACAAACGCGTTTGGTAATTATTTTTAATGTCATAACATTTTCTATGCAAAAAAAAAAAAAAAAAAAAAAACTTTTTAAAGAAACGTTAGGACCGTGTACTGTCGTAATGTTTAAAAAAGTAAAATTAAGCAAAACATGCTCTTGTTATTATATTACCATCCTTTTTGATCATGTAATAAGTGTTTCTTCTTAAAAGTTGCATTTTGTTACCGATTGGCTTTGTGCTGTCCACTAGTCAAAATTAATTTTGAAAACTGATTTGCAAACAAAACAAAATAAATAAATAAATAATTTCAAAAACATGTAGCAATGTCATTTGCTTTAAAAAATAATGATTGGTGTTTTGAAAAAATGAAGAGACCCAAAGACTAATCTCATGTAAAAAATGCACAGAAGGCAATGTTGATGAGAAAGTTGAAAACAAACCCATAAAACTGCCACCATATCGTCTTCCTCGAGCTTCTCTTCACCCTCCAAAGACAGCAAAACGTCGACAAAATCAGAATCGTCGGAGAGTTTCACAGACCCACTAACTCTTCCTCGTCGGTGCTCATCGATGATTCGATTCACGAGCCTTTTCACCCGAGGAACAAGAGCTACGCAACGTTCATCGATGCAAAATGGATCGTAAAAATACTTCAACCATGGCAAATGGTCACACCAGTTAAAAGCTCCCAAGAGCTCAAACCCTTCTCTCACAATCTGTTGAACCTCTCGAGCCTCCTCGTCGCTATCGTGCACCGTGTCGTACCTTTTTCCGAACACAATCTCCATTATATTGTTCAGAGAAGCAGCTTGTAAGTGCTTTCTTAGAACTACAAACCCATGAAGAGTTTGTTCTTTGGATATGGAACTCAACATGGCGGCGCAGTCTAGCCTACGTCCCGCTTCATGGGCTAATATGCGCTTGGGCGCAAAGAGGTGAGAAGAGGCTATTCTTCTGAGGAGCCGCCAGTATGTTCCATTAGGGGCAAACCCTATGGCTCGGCTGAACATGAGCTGCTTAGCCGAGTGTTTGATCGGACGGTTGGCGAAGTGGGGAGAGGTCAGGATTTCACGAGCCGTGACTGGGTCCGAGGCTATGACAGCTGGGGTTGAGCCCAAGCTGAAAGCCATGAGCTGGGTGGCAGCTTGGCTTGAAGCCATGGATGCGAGAGTGCGATGAGCCAAGCCATGGCTCAAGCTGAATAAGCTGCCAAAGATGGGAAGGCCTCGGAATCCAGGGATTGGGACTCGGCCCATTTGGTTCCTGCCATATTTCCAGGCTGGGCCAGAAGTGGAGAAAGCCCAAGTGAGAAGCCCGAGAGTACCCAAAATGGCAATGATTGTAAAGATAGAGAGTACAAGAGGAGTGTTGAAAAAGGCTTGGAGTTTAAGAATAGCAGGGAGAGTGAATAACCACCAAGTGGTGTCCTCAGAAATCAAGGTAAGCTCCATGAACGCTTGGTTTCGAGAGAGAGAGAGAGAGATAGAGAGGTTTGGAGGGTGGTGAATGGTGAAGGAAGGGGGAGATAGGGGTTGTTTAAATAGAGAGAAAAGTATTGTTTGATTAATGGAATACATAGTGAAAACATTAATAATCTCATGAATTGGTGTATGATCGAATTAATTAGTGAGATAATAATTTATTATGTATTAACTTTATTTTTTTGTTTCATACTTGAAATTATGATTTTCAATCCCTCTTAATATTAAAAATTAATCAATTTCGTCAAATTAAATGTCTATCGTACATATAATCCAGTTAATAAAATTTACAATCAAATATAGGATTGTGAGTTTGTGGACTAACAATCCTAATCTTATATTATAATCTTAATAATCAAACATACCCATACAAATCTATTATCAAAATAATGTAGCAGTTGCAGTTATGTAATTAAAAATTAACTTGGTGAATTCTTTGTTTTAAAGTAATAGGCTCATAAAGCTACTGCGTTATTTTATACATAATTTTTGGATGAAAAATGTTATATATCACAGATTTTTCATCTTCATTTTGTATCATCCCTTACAGGAAATCATTCAATAATTCCAGAATATCACGTGATCATACTCCAAGCCAATCACCAATTACTTAGCCCCATGTTGTTCACCTATTCCCAACATAAATTGTGGGTTCTTACTTCTCTCTACCAATCAAAACCTTATGGGACACCACGTGTCTATATTTCGAAAATACTGAATAATCACTCCATCGCTCACATATAGATTGACTCCCTTATTTAGAAATAATTATTAAAAAATCTTTAAAAATAAATAATATTTTGCCATGTATTTAATGATATAAAATGATGATAAAAATTATGTAAATTTTTTTTTTTTTTTGGTCAATCAAGTGAGTAATTATAAATATAAAAAATATTTATATTATCATAATAGAGTACTAGTCCACAATAATTAGAAAATCATAAAAAGCCTAACACGACCAAATTTATACTGGTCTTTATATATATATATATATATATTTTTTCAATTTGTATCATACGGAGAGGAAATTGCAATTCAGTTGAAAGATTAAAAAAAAAAATTACAAATTAATGATCAAATTTATTAACTTTAATAATTAAAGTGATAAACTTTTCTATGATTTTATAATTTTGTTTGAATCTTTCAATTCATTTGTAAGGAAGAAGGAATTTGATTGGACAAAGTGAAGATTTGCGTAAAATTGGGGAAATGTTTACGTGTGGATGTGTTTAAAAAGGAAGGCCTCCTGTCTAAAATTTGAGTGGGAGAGGGTTATTTGGATGAGTGAGGATCTCTCCTTGCAGTTTTCGTACTTGCGCCCGTCTTTGCAGGTCTTCGGGTCTATTTTTAGGCCCAATTTTAATAATCCGAACCGTTCATATTTTATGATTTATTCAGTATATCATACCTGTAAAAAATCAATATTTTTTCAGTTTGTATCATACGGAGAGGAAATTGCAATTCAGTTGAAAGATTAAAAAAAAAATTACAAATTAATGATCAAATTTATTAACTTTAATAATTAAAGTGATAAACTTTTCTATGATTTTATAATTTTGTTCGAATCTTTCAATTCATTTGTAAGGAAGAAGGAATTTGATTGGACAAAGTGAAGATTTGCGTGTGGATGTGTTTAAAAGGTATGATATACTGAATAAATCATAAAATATAAACGGTTCGGATTATCAAAATTGGGCTTGAAAGTAGACCCGAAGGCCTGCAAGGACGGACGCAAGCACAAGCTTGCAAGGAGAGGCTCTTGACTCTTATTTGGATATGTGTTTATTATGGGTTTTGTTTTAATAATTTAATCGTTTATTTTGTTAAATACAATGTATATCATTTATAAAAAAAATTAAATCAATCCGATAATTATAACTAATTCAATTTATTATGTTTTTATTTAAAAATATAGATGATAATTGTGTTTTTAAAAAATAAATTATATATTTTTTCATGACAAAAATAATAAATTAAATAAATTACCATTATAGAATCAATCGAAATTTTTATATGAATGAAATATATAAAATATCTAATAAAATAAACAATTTAAATCATTAAAATAGGATTCATAATGAACTCCACGTATCCAAATAACCCTCGGTCCAGATTTTGGACCAGAGGAATCCCATCCATTTTTTTTATTGGTCCGGCTTTTGTTCAGTCCGGGATCGGACTGGACCGTGCTATTAGACCCGTAGAGGCCCACCATGGGTCCCGTTTGAAAATCTGAATCGTTTAATGTGTAGAACTCGTCGAGTACTATATGGTTATAAAAAATTACGTTGATTGGATATCGATAGCATCAAATCAGTTTTGTATAAAAAAAATGGACGGTGAAAAAATTAACGGTTGATAAAAAATATTTTGTTCACATAGCTATCGATATCCGATCAACTTGATTTTTTACAGGCATATAGTACTCGACGAGTTCTACACATTGAACGGTTCAGATTATCAAAACGGGACCCGTAGTGAGCCCCCACAAATCCAACAGTACGGTCCAGTCCGGTCCAAGCCGGACAGAAGCCATGGCCTTTTTTATTTTATTGTTTTGGACCAGCTCCAGTCTCCAGTCTCCAGTCCAACTAGGTTTATCAGTATCTACCTCAAATTTGGTATTATTCATATCTTAAGGCTTGTTTGATAGATCATTTACATAAAAAATAATACAGCAAATTAATTAATTAAGCATTGGTAGTCCTACAATTATATTTTATTTGTTTTAAAATAATAATAAATATCTTTTTAGAGAAATATGATTCAGCAACTAATAATATCGATTTAGTTATTTTTTTATAGATGATTTTTTTGAAGGATTTTAAAAAATAAACGGTTTAGATTGTAGAATTGGGTCTGAGGTGAGGTACAACCCTCTTAGCTCGACCATCCAATCCATTAATCTTTTTCACATTGTTTTATTTTATCAAATAAATAATAATAAACACATTTAAAAAAATAATAATAACATACATTTTTAAAGATAAGTTTGATTCAGTCACGTAACTATTAATATTGATTTAATTTTTTTTTTTCATAAATCATTTTCTCAATGGATACAAAATATACATGTGGAACATGGGACCCACTTGACATTGATACAGTATTTCTGATGATAACATATTATTTATTATTTCATTAATCATTATTTCTAAATCAAAATTATACGTAAGTTAATTTGAACACTCAGTTATAAAAAATTAAAAAAAAAAATTACAAGGGCAACATGTGTTTATTGGAACATAAATAGATAATAAAAAATATTTATCAGCAGAAAATTTTCCAAAGATTATTTTTATCTTCAACTATACATTTTGTTTAAATTTCAACAAGGTAATGTTTGCAGCAATCTCTCTCAAACTATTTTCTTCTAATTATCGTCTGGAACTTCTTAAACTTTATAAAGCTATTTTTTTTTTCTTCTAACAAGTATATCATCGAACTTAAAAACTTTTTAGTTAGTTTCCGATTGTTTGAATGATGGTAAGCCTATTTTATAAGCCAAGATTAAATTAATGGTTAAAATTTCTATTATCCACTCTCCTTTAGCCTGTGTTTGGATCATTAACTTAAATAGATATTTGAATTATAAATTTGTTTTTCACTCACGTTTTTCTTTTCATTTTTAAATTTATACTTAAATTTATAACCCAAATACAGTCTTGATATATTCTCAAGATTTAGGCTTGCTATAATAGAGATTGGAATTGGCCGGGACAAAGTCCCCCGTGTCCTCAAGGACCAAAAAAAAAAAAAAAACACGAAGAAGAAAAAAAAAAAAAAAGATTTGCAGTATCTGTATGAATCCTTGTACCAAAGTGTTATACGAAATGAACAAAATCTGCATCAGAATCTTATTATTAAATCACTTTCTAACCTTGATTACATCATTTACCATAGTATTTTTTTCCCCTCAATAGTTGGTTTTATTTTGATTTATTTAAGCTATCCATTATGGACCATGATTCCTCTCATTTGTTCGATTCTACCATTGGTCATTTGAACAAGTTTCTCAAGTCAGAAGCACGCTGTTGACTGATACATTAATAAAATAAAATTTAAAAAATATATATAATAAAATAAAATAAAAAGTAAAAAGTTTAAAATTATTGTCACTGTCATTTTGGTGAAATGAGAGAGTAGCAAGATTTGAATTTACTTTAGTTCAGATATGTCTCGTCCAAATACTTGCTATTTTTCTTCATTGGCCTTGGCCTTGTTTGGCAGAGCTTATAAGCTGCTTATTTTAATTTTTAACTTAATTTAAGCTAAAATATTGTGTTTGGTGTAGCTTAAGTTAACCAACTTATAGATTAAATCAAACTATTTCTCAGCTTATCTCAAAAGCTGGTCAGGGGGTGCTTAAATTTTTGACTTAAGCGCGCAGCTTGTGTGGGGGTCTAAAATTACTTAAATGCCCTCGTCAATACCCAAATATTAATATTAATTAAAAAATAAAAAATTGTATATTTTTGAAGAAAAAGAAAAAATATCAATATTAATTGAAAAATAAATATTAATTGGTATTAATTATTAATAAATTCATATTGTATATTTTTATATTAATTAAAAGATAAAAAATTGTATATTTTTGAAGAAAAAGAAAAGAATCAATATTAATTAAAAAATCAATATTAATTGGTATTAATTATTAATAAATTAATATTGTATACTTTTGTAATGAATTAATTATTAATTGATACTAATTAATAACAATTATTGATTATTAATATTAATTTATACTAATTAATAATTTTAATATTAATTGAGACTAATTAATCCATTAATTGATACTAATTAATAATTTTAGTATTAATTGATACTAATTAAGCAATTAATTGATACTAATTAATTTATAATGGAAAATAATTGTGACAATAATACTTCCATTATATTTTTAGCAAATGTATCAATTTTTATATTAATTGATACTAATTATATTAACTTTTACTAATGAATTTTTTTAAAAAAATTAAAACTAAAAAAAATACAAAAATAATCGTTTTTATATCATATAA